ATTACAGACAATTAACTATTTCAGCTGATTTGCAGATATTTTAATGCAATATTTTAATGGATGATATTTAAATTTTAATAAATAATTGTTTTGTGGAGTATTGGAATTTTTATTGCACAATGTTTTATTTAAAATATTCGAAGTCCATCAAAAAATCCCTTTAATCGAGTTCAAAGTTATATATCATGAAAAAAATTTTTAGAATCCCGAAACATCGGGATTTTAAAAATATTCGTTTCGGGGTCCCGAGAGCTTTGAGACTTTCATATTACATGTTTACATACTTTTGTTTAAACAATAAACAAGTCTAAATCGGAATTTCAAAGGTACTGTTTCGGGCTTCCGAAATTTTCAGATTCAGTATTATACCCTGAACAGGGTATATTAAGTTTGCCACGAAGATTGTAATACCCAAAAGAAAAGTTCGAGATCCTATTAAGTTTATATACTATGTACAAATGATCAACATGATGAGCTGAGTCGATTTAGCCATGTCCGTTTGTTCGTCGGTACACACGCACTAGTCCCTCGGTTTTTGAGATATCGACCAGAAATTTTGCACACGTCCTTTTCTCATCAAAAAGAATTAATATCGGCCAAATATAGAAAATAGGTAGCTATCATACAAACTGACCGATCCTAGTTTGGTTCTTATATGGAAAACTTTTTTTTTGGCGAATATATCTCCACCGAATTTGGTCGTAGATTATAATCCAAGGCATCACTACATTTCCGAAGAAATTGTTCAGATCGCACAAACTACTAGTTTGGCTATAGCTGCCATATAAAATTAGCGATCAAAAAAAATCCTTTTTATACCCTTTTTTACTTTTAAAATGCACCTGTAAAGGGTATATAGGTGTTTTTTGTTATTCAACTTAAAAAATGGAAACTCTTAATGATATTTGGGGATACCGGAGAAAAATAAAGTTTGACATAGCTGGTTGTGGACTCCATATACAAGCATTGATAAATAAAACGCAAAATTTATATAATAATGGCAATCAATATAATTAAATATCGTATGAATAACGGAATTGTTGTACAATACATTTCCTACTCCTACTCTACTCTCATTTGCCCACAGTCAAGGTAACGATAATCGAACACGCAATATCAAAATGAAGCGGAAATAGAAATGCCGTGTAATTAAATAGCTATAAGTACTTAATTATATTGCGCCGAGAATGGTCTCGCGCTTTGAAATTGATGTTTATTATATTCAATAATAAATGCAAGAGATAATATGTGATTCGTTTTGTTTTGCGATATTCTATCAGCTTCCCTTGGGGCATGGTTTAAACTAAATATGCTTTTCGTTTTAAAAAATCTTAATTGCATAAGCATTAAATACACTGGCGCAATAAATTCTATTAACGTATTAAGTTAATTCTGAGCAGCGGCTTAATTGACTGCTTAAATTAACTAAATAGAGTGCGGAAAAGTTAATTAGCTTGTGCAATTATATAAAAAATAACTAAATATATATATATATATATATATATTATATTTTATATATTATTTGCAAAATTGAGAATATCAATTAAATTTGAGATGTATGATATTTATTGTTCTTTACTTCTGAGCCTGTAAAATATTAAATTTGAATGAAGAAACTGCTTTTTGAACACATATTTTTGAATAATAATAATGGGAAATTTTTTGAATAATCAGCTTATATAATAATTTTAGAACTGTGTATCAAGATATAAAATTTAATTGAAATATTTGTGGGCTTACTATTTTTAGTTAAATTTTATTTATATTCATAATTTCAAAACTATTTTATTAGAAATAAGTTTGGCTTGTTTCAAGCGGGTTCTTCGTTCTTTTCGCATTTGAAGAGAAAAATAGTTTTATAGCATTTCAAAAATATTGCCTGTTCAAATGTCCAATTAGTATTTAATTCTTTGTATATGAAATTAGATATACTTGTATAATAATAATAACAATATATAGTTTTAAAAAGTCTAATAATATCAAAAAAGAATTTCAAAAATGCTTTTTTAAAATTGTTCAACAAAAAACACGAACATCAAATAAGATAAAAAAAGGAAATTATAATTATTTTTCAACAACTTTTCGAATTAATTTTTTTCAAAAACAAAAACCAAATTTTAATTATTCAAAACTTTTTGAGAAAGTCAAATTAAGTTTTTTAAAATGAAATTTTTTGCAATTAAAAAATCGAAGTCATTTTTGATTCAAGACTTCTTGTTTTGTAAATCAATATGTTTTCGAAAAAAACGAAATAACGCTTTGTCTCATAACTTGATTTTTTATTATTGTAATTTGCAATATTTTTCAAAACAAATCGAATTTGCGCTTTGTTTCAAAACTTTAAGTTTTCTTAAATATTATCAATATATTTTGAAAAAAAACGAATTAATTATTTTCAAACAAAGTTCTTTTCTCTTTGAAATAATTATCAATAATAAATAATATTAAAAAAAAAATAAACAAAATTAACATTTCAATATTTGACTAAAACCGGTGAATGCTATTGCCTCGTTCAAACTTTCTCCTAGAACTTTCAAATTTAATTATCGTATTTCCGTGTCGATTTTTTCATTAATTTTAAAGTATGCACAATACTATACAGATTATAAGTGGATTTATTCACAAATTCATTTACATTATGAGGGTGCAGTAATCCTTTTTTCATAAATCATATAAATTTTCAAAATCATCCAAACAGTGATTGTAACCCCTGACCCGTGTCCGCTCTTTCTCTCGATCTTTTTCTACAAAATAGAGTCCCTTTCTTCTACACCCATTTGATTCATAACTATCCTAAACCCCAAAATAATTATTACCTGCAAGTGGGATTTTTCCTCCGCTATCAATTTAATGAGAGATATCATCAATATTCATTTAATTGCCACAAATCATCACTAATCTTCAATTACACGAATTGCCTGTCAACTGCACACGAAGAGAGCTTGCCTGCAAAAATTAACTATTACATACCACACAGTCGCGTTTGCTAAATTGAATCAGACGGACAGAGGATGCAAAAGCTCATATTTTTAATACACAGTGTTGCATTTTGCTGCTTGCACACTTTACCGTTGCCAGAACCACAGGTTGTTCACACTTTTTTCGCTACTAAGCTCAAAATAAATTTAAATGAACATCATTATTTTTATTGCATTACGAAAAGGACTTCCAAACCGGCGCCCTCATGTTGGCGGGTCAAATGAAAGAGGTTTTAGATAACGGCGCCGCCGCACACGATCAAAAGCAATTCGAATTTATGGGCATCAAGGTAAGCAATGATATGGTATTCGGCTTTGGCGATGCGTTGAAAATGCCGGGACGTAGGCGCAGACTTGAAGTCGACCCACAGCCAACGGAAGCAGATAATTCTATAAGCAATGATGCGGATTATTCATTCCATACTGAGTACATTGATTGTGTGCCATATATCGAAAATGAGGAACGTAAAAAACGTGGCGCTTATCGACACAGTTCTTCGCAGAGTAGTTCATCGTACTCATCGTCGGACTCATCGTTCTCTTCTCTCGCTTCGTCGAGTGAATCGGAAGAACGTTAAGGCACGATAACGCGATGAAAAAAAACTTAAGCTCGAATTTTTCAATAAAATATGTTTTTTTTTATCAGAAAAGTGTTTTCATCTCTGGCACTCAGTTACTTTTGTACAGCGACTAAACTGTTTTGGCGATAGATGTTTGGTTGTCGTTAATTTGAGTGTAAGCAGATAGAAATTATATTCAGAGTAAACAGGTTTTAGATATTTTAGTAAAACTCGTACAACAGTAAAAGAAGTCTTAAAAATATGTTTAACATAAATTTAAATCCTCGGTTTTTTAGTCTCTGAATGGACCAACGTTAAGTGGCAAGTAAGAGCCTAGAGTCCTTTTTTGGCGCAATCTTGACGTTTAGTTTCAGCTTTGTGCGTTGAGAAGGGTTTAATTAGAGAATGTTTCATATAAACTCTGTGTAGAGTCTGTGGAGAACTGGGGTTATACCACTGGGATATGTATGATGAAAGCAAACTTATGAAGATTTGCCGATATGGTGAGTAATGCAGTCGGAGAACATAGAATTAGGTTACACACTCCTTTTGCTTAAGAGACTCTAAAAAGACCCTAGGAAAAACCATACTTCCAAAAAATTATGTTCAGAATTGCCTATATAATCTTACACTGGCTTAAAATACAACCTTTCCGTAACTCTATGTTTTACGAAAAACATGTCCAACTTGTACCTAGCTGAGATGGTGCATCAAGGAATGCTCAAATTTCTTAAACACTGATACAACAATAGCTATCTGAGATGCCTATGAAAATCCAGATACCGAAAGCCCTTCAGCGATTTCGATTTATGTAAAGAGTATTACACTAATTTAATCAAAAATAAAACTAAAAACCCACGACCTTGGTCAAAATCGGCGCCAAATACAGTTTCAAAGAATGTCTCTTCAAACAAAACTACCGTTATTATAACAAATTTTTTACACACACAGCTTATTTGCTGTTGATTACAAAACTTCTAAATCCTTACTTAAAGCACCGTAATCGCGATGTGAACAACCGTTACAAATCGGATTAGTCGTTACAAAGACCAAACACGCTAACACTCACCTGTGCTTGAGAATATTGCTGGGGTGGCGCATACTGTTGTTGTTGTGGTTGCGCAAATTGTTGTTGCTGCAGCTGGGGCTGTGACAGCGGCTGGGCGAATGGCTGTAGCTGTTGTGCAACAGGTGATGCCTGTTGCCGTTGTTGCTGTTGGCCACCAAACACGCGCGAGAAGCTCTGCTGCAGCGCCGGTGTCTTCAGGGTGAATGAATTCGAATTAGAATCGGTGTGGTAGGACAATTGCGCCGACGATGCATGCAACAGGCAGGCGACCACTAAACCGAGCATTGCCACCTGGGTGGCTGTGTGCGAACAATTACCACGAGCCATAGCTAATGAATCCTTTTTTCTTTTGGTGGTTAGTGTTTGTACGCTCTGCGTCTTATTTGCGTTGGGTTAATTTTTGTTTCGTTAGCTCGTTGCTTGCGGTATACAACGACAATGTGCACGCGTTTAATACGACAACTGATTGGCGCTGGCACTTTTGTGGTTTTTGGTTTTATATCAACTTAATTTTAGCCCATTAAGCTCTTGCTTTTGTTGTAATGTGCACTTGCTGCCGAACAGTGTGAACGAATGGTTGGCTAAGTAAGTCGTTAAGTCGCTAAGTCGCTAAGTCGCTAAGTCGTCGCGTGCTAATGTGCGCGGAATGAGCAAGAAGCCGAAAATGAATGTCTCAACGCGCAAGCGGGGCTTATTAGTGTGCAGAGTGGGCTTATCGCGTCTGCCCTGCGTTGAATATCGAATGTGTTTACTTTTATTTTTTTATCCGATTGTCTTTTAATCCGATTGTGGAGGGTTATTACCAATAAGCACATTTGTATATGTTAAGCGGATTAATAACGCTTTTTGGAAAAGTATTGCGTTAGGTCGATTTACATTTTATTTTGTTGTTGTTGTTGAAATTTTCGTACATATAGTTGGTAATGAAATATGCATAGACAAGTCGGTAGTATATGAAGTTTTATTCCTTGTATTTGTTTCCAGAAGAAATTTATGTGCGATTAAAGTATTGAACATTGTGGAACAAGTATTAATCAATCTTCAACTAAAAGCATTCACAAAGGTTAGGTTAGGTTCGTTAGCTAAAACCCGCACAGCTTAAGACAAGAATCTTCTGAAGCTAGAAAACTCTTGTACTTTGATCTCATATATCGGAAAATTGCATTGATTCACATAAATACATATTAAACTTATTGTGGGTTTCCGCTGCCTTCTGGCTATTGGAATGATGATACGTTAGGCGAGTATGAACACATCTACACAAGAACTCATCAAATTGCGGCGAGCGATTGCCGAAAAAACCCCGGAATTGGCGATAAGGCCACAAAGCAATAATTTCCGATAATGACAATACTCGGTCTCATATCGCAAGACAAGACTGGCTGCAAACTATTTGGAAAACAGCGGCTGGCAAGTTTCGCCTCACCAGCCTAGGCTTTTTCCCTTCTATCACTATACGGTTCATTGCAGAATTGGGTATGAAAAATTAGCTTGATTAATTTTCTTTTATGTTGACATCCCCAATTTCCAGAAAGTTGAGAAAATGTTATACCTTCAGATGGGCAATATCATATCAGGAGGTCGATTTGGTCGTTGGATGAATCATAAGTAATGCATTTTATTTTGGAAATATATTTATTGCTACTAAATTATTGATCAGTATTGATCGCACTGCATAACTTGTTAGGTCTCAAATGTTCACATAAGTTCACTAGCGACTTGCGATCACTGCTAAAACTAAATATTTTGTATTTCTTTCTTCAACTATTTCATTATGAATTCCAAGAGTATAAAGCAAGTTATGCACTTTCATCGATAAAACTACCTAAGTAATTTTTTATCATTATTAAACATGAGACAGAAGTGAAAAGCATAGGTGAGTTTCACATACTGAGTACACTGTCCAATATTACTACAGTTTTCTCTATATATAAGGTTAATATTTGCCTAACCTTGGAATTTGAATATGGTCTTGCATTTATGACCTTTCTACAGACTTGTTTACTTTTGTTTTAAATACTTGATTTGGTGATTTTTTAAGTTGACTAAAATTTACATAGAGGTTTACATTAAGAGATGTCGGTCTTTAGGTAACTAGTGGACGAACCCTTATTCCATCTTTGGTTATATATTCCACACGTTTAGTGTAATTAATAGCATTGACCGACTGAAGTGCAAGCAATATTACTTGCGCACTCCACTCTAAATAAATTATTAAACGCAAATATATTTCTGAGAATTTGAGTATACTCTGATTTAATTTGGCAAAGTTAATTTACGGCGAGCTAACCGTCAAAAATTTTCCAGAATACCTACATTTTGTCAACTAATATTTTAACAATAAATGATACATATTCTAATCAAATCATTGGTTTTAGCCAACAAAAAAAGCTGTCAACATATATTTTCTCCCATCCATTTGAGCTCTCCCAACTCAGTTGTAAAAAGAGCTACGTTGAGTGTAGCTGTCTAGAACATAAAAACTATATAAATTACGTTGCTTAATCAAAATAAAAATAGATTCCCAACATTTACTTTTCCTCGAATTCCAGCTTGCCAGATAAGGCGAAAACACCTCAGATCTCATAAGTTGGCATTATCAGGTGAAAAAGCCGCCAATAGAAATAAAGCGATGTATGCGGGATTTTGTGATAGATTTAGGGCGTTTGTCGATGAGCTGTATATTCCAACTGCCAGTTATTTACGTCGGCTCACAAAGGGTGTACTAACATGTCACTTGCCCAACTAGAGTCAGTCAACTAACCTAACCTAAAACACAATCTGATTGCAATTTCCGATCTAATATTGCCAGAATCTTATCTTTCACGCATAAGCATTCATGGAAGTGTAAAAGAAATGTTTCAAAAAAAAAAAACCATCATCGTTTCTTTTCTCTTCTATTGATGAGTAACTCAGATGTTTGGTTATAACACTCAATCTCAACCTATCCACGTTAACAGTTTCGAGCTTTGAGAGCGTTCGCGAAAATAAGAGTCCTGTCTACACAGAGCAATTGTTTATTAATTTTGTTATTGCTAACGCCCTGCCCTAGTAAATTAAGTCATTCCGCCTGCAGTACATACCGATGCGTTGTTGAATTTAGCGCCTCGAGTAATAAATATAGCATGTTTCCATTTCCTTTCAATCTGCGCTGCAACTATTACGACTATAAACGCTTAATGATCTCAGTATTAACCGTCGACGCGCGCCTCGTAAATTTGCTTACGGGCTTTTGGTAACTCGAGAGCTATGCGCGCGTGTAGCAATGCCAGTCACGCGTGCGCATTTTAACACATAATCGCACAATACAGATGCACGGCCTGGCTGCCGTGCGCCGCTGCAAAAGCCACACCATACCGCTGACCCCTGCGCAGCGTTAACGCTACTGTTACTTGATATGCTGTTGTTTGTTTTGCTGCTGCTGTCGGCTGCCTACTGCGCCGCTTTCCGAAAATCGGGTACGCCGTTTGGATTCAGGGCCGGTGGTCAGTTTGCTTGTGAACTTATGTCAACACTCACTACCTAAAAATCACGCCAAACTCAAAACCTTATCAACAAAAACACAAAAAATAACAACAAAAAGGAAACAAATAACAACAACAAAAGGCGCAATACAGCGCGTATGGTCGCCCACTAAATCGCCACAATGACTTACGTGCATTGTGCGTGGGTTTATTTGCCTTTTATACGCTTATTTAATGTTCTTGCACACACACATACATATGAACACCTACACATATACTTATATACAAGCAGTGTAACTGCCTTTCGTTAATGGCGTTGCCGCGTGCGCTTTTTGCGCCGCTTTATTGTTATTATGTTCACTGCTCATTTGTGCTTATTTGTACTGTTATTTTTCATGCACATACACGCAATTGCACACATACACATATATACATATATTTTATATATATACGCATATTTGAGTATAGCACGTTTATTGGCTGGGAGGAGGAAGTGTCACTAGCGAAATATACAGCAAATTGGATTTCTTTCGTCCGTCCGTTTGTCTGGCTGCGTG